TAATATTAAAACGTACATGTACCAAGCATTTAGTAAGGCCAGATGCCCTGCGATTGTTACCTATTATCAGGCCTTTCAGAAGGTTTGTAGGGCTATGTTCTTGTTGAAAGTTGCTGTTGAGTCTGTTTCTGCTCATAGGTGTCCATGTGCACACCAGTGGATTTGTGCTCTGTAGGGTTTTCAAGGATGTGGCCTTCCAGAAACAAGTTTCTAGGTCTGTTTTCTGAGGCAACTCAGGTGGGTTTGAACTACTGGCCAATTGAGTAGTAGCTGAACACGTAACCATATGCACCAACGGGAAACTACTGCTGGGCTGTGTATATCCTGTTTTACAGGCGAGGATACCAAGAGTGAGGGATAAAACAGCTTCAATGTCACACAGCCTGTAGGTGGTAGAACCTCAGCATTTCAGGTCTCCAGAGCCCAAACTCGTTCCATGCATCCCCGTACTTCACAGTCTGAGTTAGCCCGTACTTCACATGTCTGAGTTAGCCCGTACTTCACATGTCTGAGTTCAGCAGGCAAGAGCTGCAACCTAGTTCAGCTCCTCAGACATTAAGAGAAGAAGCCCTGCGGTGTAGTGGGTAACATGTTAGGCTGCTAACTGAATAGCTGGCAGTTTGAATCTGTTGCCCCCAGGGAGGAAAAGTGGCTCAGCAGCAGTGGGACAACCTTTTGGTTTTGATCACCCACTGTTGTGAGTTGGTTCTGTCTCATAGCCATTTTCCCTCAGATTTATGAGGCTGTAAATCAGCTTTAGTTTGCTTGGCTGCACAGTCAACACTTTTAGTACCAGAAACCAGGAAATAAAGAGAATTGCATTGGGAAAGTCAGCTGTCAGGACCTCTCCAGAGTACTGAAGAGCAATGATGTCAGTCTGGAGACTAAGGTGCGCCTGATCCGGGCCATAGTCATTGCAACTGTGTGCTATGCATGGGAGAGCTGGACAGTGACTAGGGAAGAAAGAAAAAGTATTGATGACTTTGAGCTGTGGTGCTGGAGAAGAGTGTTGAATATACCATGGACTGCCAGGAGAACAAACAGGTTTGTCCTGGAGAGGGTGAAATTGCGCTGTCCTTGGAGGCAAGGATTCTAAAGCTTTGTCTGACAGTCTTTGGGCATGCTGAAAGGACGGACCAGTCCTTAGAGACTTCATGTTTGGAAGAGTGGATGGACAGCACAGGAGAGGAAGACCCTCAATGAAATGGATTGATTCAGTGATTGGGGTGGTGGGAGTGTGTCAAAAACTGAGGGTGGCACAGGATAGAGCATAGTTTAGGGCTATTGTACATTGGTCACTATGAGTCACAAGTGACTTCACGGCACACAACAACAACAACAACAAATCATTATGGGAGGAAATTGCTCCTCATCCTCCCAGGAAGAGCAGGTGGATTCAAACAGCAAACCTTCCACATAGCAGACTGATAATTATGCCACCAAGGCTCAGTAACGCTGTTTTAAGGTGAAAGAAGTATATAGACTTTCCTGCCTCCTTGGGAAGGAACACTAACTCAAACCATCGTGGGGGGACATAAAAATACTAAACACATGGAGAACAGTGTCAGCACTTAAATTGTGACTGTGAAGAACTCGAGCCACATTTCCTTCCCTGCTTCCCTGGCACGAGACAGTCATATCCCTAGTGCTCTGGGATGCCAGATCCCTTGGAGGACAGTGATGCTGCCAGGGTTATTTTCCCCAAGGGCAAACGTGGAAACTCCCACCAAGAGGCCGGAGAGAAGAGCCTGGGTGATAATGAAGGCAGGAAACCTCTGAGATGTAAACATCCCTCCCAACCCTCCCCACTCTGGGTGCTGGCCTGAGCAATGAGCTCTCCAGCCTGGCTATGTAAGGCCTATTAGAGTCTCTGGGTTCGGATGAGAGCCTTAGATGAAAGCAAGAAAAAGTGTGGCCTGGAGAAACAAGCTTTCAAGTACTTCAAGACTAGGGGAGGAAACAGACTGAAAGAGGAAGACTGGCCCAGCCTGGTCAGTAAGGAGACCAAGCGAGCAGTGGGCAGCAGCTATGCGCCAGAGGAGAATGAACAGACTCTTGTCAAGGCCTTCTGTACTAACATGTCTGTTAAACCTAGACTAGGCTGGATGTGATAGCCATACTACATACTCAGAAATGACTTCACTCAGGCCTTTGGTCAAAGTCTCTCAGACCTGGAATGACAGGTTCTGGGGAATCCAAGATTGTCAATCCCAAAATGAGGTGGGGGTGCAGAAGAACTGTGATCAAGAGATGCCTAGCCTTGCCCTGGCCTGCCAACTGTGTTCATACATGCACAGAAATGGTGTTTATTTTCACCTGAGTAGGTTCAGCTTCTGATCACAGAAATGACTGGGTTTTCCAATGATTTCCACGGAATCAATAGGCTATCAAACAAAGCTAGGCTGGTAGGACTCTTTCTGGAATTGTTTTTTCACTAAGAGAGATGGTTGTTGTTGTGGTGGTGGTGTATTGTAGTCGGAATTGACCCATAGCTGACCCTCCAGTGGGTTTTCAGAGGCAGTTAATCGCATGGAAGGAGACTGCCCATCTTTCTCCCACAGAGAAGCTGGTGGCCTCGAACCGTATGCCTTTGGGATTGCAGCTCCGCTTCTTGCCACTAGGCATGAATTTTTACCACTGCCTCTGTGTAACGAGGGGATCTGAAGATGTGTGCTAGGGGAATAGGGACACCTAAAGAAGAGGAAGGGTTCCGTTAGAGCAGATCAGACTGGCTCCCAGAAAGAGGGCAAGGGTGATGGGAGGGTGAGAGCCATTCAGAGAAGTCCCTTGATTGCCATTTCCAATCCTGCCGTAGGATCCTTGCTGCCTGCGTGGCACACATGGTTAAACACTCAGCAGCTAACATAAAGACTGGCAGTTTGAGTCCCCATCTGGAGGTACCTTGGGAGGAAGATCTGGAAATCTGGCTCCAAAAGGTCACAGCCACTGGAAGCCTGTGGAGCCCAGAGCTCTGACACATGGCATCAGCCACCAGGAACTGGAGTTGAATCTATGGAAACCAGTTTGTTTTCACACAGGGTCACATGATGAGGCAACTGAGACTCTGCCTGACATGAGCTGCTTGCTGGGTTTTGATCCCAGGCTCGTGGGCAATTGGAGGGACCAGAGGGTGTGCAGATTGAGGAGAAAAGTATCAGGCACAGGGGTAGGTAGGAGTTGGACACACAGCTTCCCTTTCATGGAGTGGAGGCCCCAGCTTCCCCTACAAGATGAGGGAGGTCAGCACAGAACTTGGTCTGGGGGTCCAAAAAGCAGCACTGGTGCACACGAGGATGTGAGAAGTGGTTTTATTCCAGGAGCGTGTTTCATAAAGGCGTCTTCAAGGATGGCTAGTGGCACATGCTTTGGTCAAGAAGAGGAAAAGCAAACAGAATACGGCTGAGTCCCCACAAAAGATGGCTGACAAAGGCAAAGAAAGCCTGGTGGAGACCCTGGAACGAGGGAAAGACTCTCACACAGCCCTTCTGAGCAGTAGTCCTTTTACATTCATGAGAAGCTTATGCTCTCCATTTGCCCAAGGGCGTCTCAGGCCTTTGAATCAATCCTCAGGGCACAGCCATCTCCTCCCCTCAGTTCTGTCCTAAGCTGCAGCGGGAGGTGTTCCAGGTGAACTCGACCCAAAGTCCATGGAGATGTGCAGCCATTAGGGTTAAGGACCCCACATTGGCAGAGTTTGGGGGATGCACACACTGAGGCACAGGGGCACTGTTGAGAGAGTACTGGGGAGAGCAGGGGGGCAGTGGAGAACCCTCCAGGGTGGGCGCTTTGTACAAGGGAAGCTTGGTTCCCAGTCCAAGGACTTCATGGAGTGGGCAGGACGATGGCTGTTCAGACAAACAAGGAAGGGAGATAGATGGTAGGAGCTTAGGTGGACGGTGGCTCCAATCCAGAGCAGAACCCTTTGGGAGATCAGGGACTTCTTTAAGAAGCAGGGAAAAGCCATGGACCCTCTCCTCAGGATGCTGCTTTTTTTTTTTAACAGTTTCAAGAGATTCCTGGACCCCCTAGAATCTGTGAACTTTCTAAGGGTCTGTGGATCTCTGTCTGGCCTAAGAGACAGGGGCTCCTGGGGTTGGGTGTGTCTGTCCCAGGTTGGTTTCCATTGAAGTCCTGATACCAGTAGCCTTTTGCCCAAGGTCTCAGTGCCTGAGCCAAGGAGGGAGGAGATGGAGGAAACACAGAAGGGGCAGTTCCAAGACAAGATCATCCGGGGAGGGAGAAAAGAAGCCAGGAACTGTTTAGGGGAAACAGTAGTTTGCCCCAGTCCCAGCCCCTCAGCCCACAACAATGGCTGCCACTTGGAGGGCAGGGCTCCTAGAACAGGGATTGGAGAATGAGGACCAGGCTCCGCCTCAAGACTCCACTAATGACTTGGGGGCTGTTCATGTCCCAGAAAGGAGATACCGTTCTTCCTGCCACCCCATTATTCTGTGTTTATAGAAGCAAAGACCTTTGACAAGGGAGGGGGCAGATACTAAGGATGAAGAGGAGGTGACAGCTGGTACTTGGGGGCTGCCCATCCGATAAGAGGTAGGACAGGGCACCAGCTTATCATTAAGGCTTGAGGGAGAGGTCTTGGCCTAACACACAGGCAAACACAAGTGGCATCTGTTTGAGATCCATGTCTTAAGGTTGACCCTCTGCAGCCTCCTGATAAAAGTCCAAGGACCTACAGCAGCAGGGTTCTGAGGCTGGTGAAGCAGGGGAGAGAGAAACTGGCTCCGAGGGAGGAAGCCTACTCTTTGGAGGCTTTTCTGCTCTTCTACGTTTTCTGCAAGCTACCCATCCTTTGACCACAGGACCCTATCCCTCCCCTCAGCCCATGCACAATGCATCTCTTGGACAGGTCACCTCCTTCCTACTCTTTACCTGCCTCTGCAGGCTGCCCCTCTCCTCCCCTCTTCTGTCCCCAGCTGTCAGCCTCCCTTCTAGGCTCTCACAGCTTGGCATTTTCAAGAGAAGTCCACAACCCAGCTGGGCCCGTGTGGGCTTCTGTCCTTGCTCCCCATAGCCAACAAGGGGTGGGCCCACAAAAGGGGCAAAGGAGAGAACAAGGGCCCGGACCATCTGCCCAGCCACAGTCCAGCTTCCGGACTACCTCCTCTCCCAGGGAAAGGCCGGATGGCAGAGAGGGCATTAGGGTGTGACCCTGGGTCCAAACACCCTCCGGAGAAACGTGTGTGGCGGCAAGGGGTGTTTGCTGATGATTCAGGCAGAAATGTGAGGAGATGGAGACAGCCCGCTTTATACTCCCCCACCCTAACCCTCTTCTGGTCCCAAAGTCTCATGCAAATGGTACAGGAGGCCTCGGGCTACAGTCATGTGTGCGGCAACAGCTGCCACTGCTGGGCTGGGGCGTCCGCCTGACACTTGTTGGTCACCAGCTGGGCAGGCTGCGTCTCCAGGCAGAGTCCGCTGACTGACTGCTGGATCAAAGAGCCTTTTCTCCTCCATTTCTAGGGGGAGATGGAATAAAACAATGATTAAAATCACCACAATGTTTGTATCTTCATTTTGCCTATATGTAAATTACCTGTATCTGCCTAGAAGACATCCCTGTCATTTAAAAGACTTTGTGTCCCTTAAATTCACAAGAATTTGTGAAATACTACACAACAGGGATAGAATGAGAACAGGTTCTGCTGAGTGCCATAGGTCAGTGACAAAAGGCCAATTATGGTCGAAGACCGTAAAAAATAAGAAATGGATTCTACACAAATAGAATCAACCTTGGAGGCTTGACAGAAAGGAGAAGTAAACCCAAGAGAAGAAAAAAAAATGTTTAATTTAAAAAAATGCTTTCTCTCTAAGCTGCTGGAGTATTCTCCCTCTTGGGTGGTCTTCGTGCCCTCTTGCTCCAGCAGTTCCCACCCATATTGTTTTTCTAAATAATTTTTTTTAATGATAAGAAATATTTTAAGACTTTGTGTCCCTGTCTTAAGCCCCGCCCCTCCCAATGAGGTTCTTCTGTAGCTGGTGTGAATAACGCTCTAGGTGAAAGGAGACCCATGGACCGAGTCTAACACAGAGACGAATTCTGTTTGGCCTGTGCTTCCCAGCCACCCAGTCACCACCCACCCACCCAGTCAGGTGCCACTGAGTTCACTGCAGCACTTGGTGACTCCATGTATATCAGAGTAGAACTCTGCTTCATGAAGGTTTTCCGATGAGATCAGGTGGGCTCAGTGTGGTATGACCCTAGACTTCACAAGGATTTCAATGGTTGGTTTTTTCCAGAAGTAGAGCACCACGCCTTTTCTCCAAGATGCCTCCGAGTTGACACAATCACCTGCTTATTGGTTAGGAGCTGAGCACGTTACCTGGTTTGCACTACCTGGGGACTTCCTGGCCTGTGTGCACAATGTTTACTTAAAACCTGGTGTGTGCCCACAGAAGATCTTCATTTCTAACTTCTCATTAAGCAGTGGGCCCAGTTTCCTATGTCGGCTGATTGGGATTCTCACTCTCTGGTTCATCAGAGCTGCTTCTGTCCTGTACTTTGCTGCTATACGGTCCTTTTCACCCACGAGCTTGGGTGGTACAGTCTATAGTGAGTTACAGTGCTAACCCAGAGGTCGCACCTCCCTGGCTGCACGAATCCACCAGCGGCTCTGAGGGGGGGGAAACGGGCAGTCTCCTTCCATGTGATTTATGTTGTTGTTGTTGTTATGTGCCGTCGAGTTGTTTGCAACTCATAGCAACCCTATGTACAACAACCTTAAACCGTGCTCTATCCTGTGCCAATCTCATTGCCTCTGACACACCCATCCCGAGTACCCGAGTCACTGAATCAATCCACCTCATAGAGGGTCTTCCCCTCCTGCGCTGTCCCTCTACTCTACCCAGCATGATGTCCCTCTCTAAAGACCTGTCTCTCCTTACAACATGTCCAAAGTATGTCAGACGAAGCCCCAGAATCCTTGCTTTCAAGGAGCAGCCTGGGTTAATCCTCTCTACGATGAATCTGTTTGTTTTCCTGGCAGTCCATGGTACATTCAATACTCTTCTCCAGCACCACAGCTCAAAGGCGTCAATTCTCCTTCTATCCTCCCTAGTCATTGTCCAACTCTCTGATGCATAACAAGTGATTGCAAAAACCATGGCCTGTATCAGGCGCACTTTAGTCTCCAGAGAGACACTGTTGCTCTTGAGTACTTTAGAGAGGTCCCTAACCGCAGACTTTCCCATCGTAATACTTTTATTTCCTGGCTACTGGTGCCGAGAGTGTTGACCGTGGAGCCGAGCAAACTGAAGCTGTGAACACTCTCAATCTCTTCGCCATCCATCCTGATGCTACTAATTGGTCCGGTGGTGAGAATTTTTGTCTTCTTGACATTGAGCCTCAGTCCATACTGAAGGCTATGTATGTGATTTATAGCTTCAGAAAACCCACTGAGGGGGTAGCTCTAAGGCCTTTCTAACTTGATAGCAGTGAGTTTTGAGCTCCCCACAGGCATTGGAAGGGAGCTCTGGTGGCTAAGGAGTTACACTGCCAACCCAAAGGCACTCTGTTCAAATCTGCCTGCTGTTCTGCAGGGGAAAGATGGGCAATCTCCTCCTGTGAGATTTACAGCTTCTTAAAATGCACTGGAGGCTTGGCTATGAGTCAGTTCTAACTCAACTGCATGTAACAACAACAAAATAGGCATTTGAGTTTGTGATGGCTGGCCCCGGTGAATCTTCTGCTTCTTCAAGCAAGATTTCATTTCCCTGCAGCCCTAAAAATCTGACTTGGCCATAACCATGAGAGCAGTTTTCTTTATCCTTTAGTGGAAATTGGTCACCATTTAGTCAAAATTGAAAACTTAAGTCAACTGGGATCATGTGGTAGGGAGAAGGCCTGAGTTTCCCCATCAGAGAGTCATGAAGGGGCTCCCAGATCAACGTCTTCACCTCTTGACATCTCACCTTCTCCAGGTTTGACAGGAAGAAGAGTTGTTTCTACAGAATGTCTTAAAAGTACTTAGATGGAGCGTAGGATGTTGGTGGAAGAGTTAGGGGAAGAGAAGAGAGCCTGAGGCACAGATTTCAAGGATCAGGGAAGAATAAATATGCAGACAGGTTTATTCTTTGTTTCCCTTCCATCTCTCTTCTTCCTGTACCCACCCTGTCCTCTATAAAAGATGAGAGATGCTAGAAACATGTGGATTGAGCCCAGTGGTTTTTGAAGGGGAAGGATATGTGTTCATTTGGTGAAGTTAGAAGAGCTACACCATTGTGTATTCCTGGGACCTGGGCGAGATCTGTGGGTGGACATGGGGTCACTGAAGAAAGGAACCTACTTGGGATACACAGGGTGGAATTTTGGGGACAGTAGATCTGAGACTCCCTATGGGAACTGGGGGAGATGAAGGCTGAGGATGAGCCTGTCTGTGGTCCCAACAGAGCAAGGTTCTTGCATAAAGCACAGGGAGCAACGAATTGAAGAAGGCCTCTCTGACCCCACAAGATCTTACTGTATCCTACCATTCTTCCAGACCCTGCTCTGTAATCCAAGCACTGCCAAGTGGGGTATGGCCACGTCCTCCCTCACAAGGTCTGGCTGAACATTCTATCTGAGCTGCAAGGCCCTCCACTGGGATCCTTGCTGTCTTTGCTGCTGTGTCATCAAGTTGGAACCCACTTAGAGCTGTCCCTCCAGTGGAGCAGTGACTGCTGGGGAGGCAACTGCCCAGCTTTCTCCAGCAGAGCATCTGGCGGATTCAAAGCGCATGTCTTTGGAGTTGCAGCGCAGCTTCTCACCACTAGGCCCCCAGAGCTCCCTGCTTGCTGCCACCTGTAATGGGAGTGTTCAGCCCTCCGTAACATAATGACTACCCCTCCTCTTTCCTCATCACTAGACCACGTCCTTCCTCCGTTCCTGACACTGGTGTAGCCTGCACACTCCCCGACAAGGCACACTCATTGTATGATGAATGAGTGAGTGAATCAATCAGTCCCCTCGTCATCAGGAACTGCACCCCAAATTGCAGGATTCTCATTTCCCACCAAAGCCAGCAGGGGCAGTCTCTGGGCTTCACAGACCCTTCTGGACTCTCAGTTCTGGGCCTGGCCAGGGCAGCCTCCCGTCTTACTGTTCCTTGCAGGGCAGGCAGCGAGGAGACTGAGCTCAGAGGCAGCGGTCTGAGCGGCAAACTACGAACTTCCTCACACCTGCCCCAGTTTACAAGAGCCTCTCACGTGCATGAAACCCAAGGGCCTTGGAAATGGGGCCAAAGGAGGACTATGAAGGGAGACCTAGATTCTAGGAGCTATCCGCCCAGCAAATGGAGCACTACACGGCCTGTCCTCCTGGGAGGAGGGCACTGCTCTGTCAGCGTGTGGGGCCGGGGAGGACTCTCAGGAGCCGAATGAATGGCCCACGGAAAATTCCTGAAGCTTCACAGGCTAGGTTAGCATGGAGGAGAGCATGGAAGCTTCAGCCCCAGAAGGAGAAATGTTGGCTAGAGGACACCCTGGAAGCCTTTTCAGCTTTTCAGCTTTGACCTCAACAAGGAGGTAGGGGTGGGTTCTCTGAGGGAAGGTGGGGGGCTGTGAGCAGAGCAGGGGGCAGAGGATGAGCATCTGGGGGTGGACAGAGCAGGCACATGCTCTGTCAGAAAGCCTGAGAAGTCAGTGGTCCTGCAGGCCAGCAAGCAGGGGCCCTGGTCCACCACCCTCTAAGCTCTTACACACACAGACACACACGCAGAAGTAGGCGTGGGGAGAAAAGAGGGAGTTTGGCTGCTTTTCTGGTATGGAATAGCAAACTTCCAGTCATCCTTAAAGAGAGCGCTGACCCAGGCAAATAGAAAAGGGGGTGGGAGAAAATGCTGCGGGCCAAATTAGAGGGCCAGCATTTCCTTCACCCAGAACAGACCCACAGTCTGGGCAGGGTCAGGCATAGGGAGGGAGGCCACCAGGAAGGCGAACAAAGAAGGCTGGAGCAGGCTCCTCTTCCTGTCCCTTTCCTGGGCCGCAAGGAAGCCCTCTGACAGTGGAGGAGAGAGCAGCTAGTTTTAGAAGTTGCTGGACCAGCTTTGAAGACAGGGGTCAGGCAGGGAGTGGTTCTGGTTCCCACCCTGTCACTGCTGGCTGTGTGACTGAGCAAATGATTTCATCTCTCTGAGCCTCAGTCTCCTCTTCAATTGACAGAATTAACGGGGACAGCCTGGGTTAAGTGTTTGACAAGTGGAAAAGGCAGAGTTTGCCCGAGGCTAGTTCCAGCTGCTTAGAAATCACTGTATCCAGTCTCCATGGAGTTCATCCACCAAGAAATGCTTACTGAGCATCTGTTATGTCCTAGGTTATGACTGTGGGCTTAGGAGTTCAAATTCCAGCTCTACTTGTTAGCAGCTGTGGGATCCAATATGCATTTCATAAGTTCAGCGAACCTCAGATTGTTGATGTTGTTGTTATGTGCCATTGAATCGACTATGACTCATAGCGACCCTCTGTGAGCCTCAGTTTATTCACCTATAAAAAGAGAATATGGCTAGGAGCAATGTAACTAGATTGCTGGGAGGATAAAAAGAGATAATTGATGTAAACCTTAGCACAGGTTAATGTGCTCAACTGCTAACTCAGAGGTGGGATGCATGTCTACCCAGAAGTACCTCAGAAGAAAAGCCTGTCTGTCCAGCTCTTTGCAGAATGAGTCTGTGAACCCCCCATGGAGCACAGCTCTACACACATGGGGTTACCATGACCGAGAACTGACTATATGAAACAAAAACCAGCAAAGGCTGTTGACTTAGGCCCCCGCAGACAGTCTCGGGAAAGCTATCAGAGTCTATATGTCTAGCCCCAAGGGTGCTGGCTGGCCTGTCCTCAGAGGCCAGTCATGCGATGTCCCTTCCATCAGAGTAGAGCCTTACCTGACTTCCTTCTTTTGGGTTGCACACTTGCAGCGCCACCAGGGCCCCAGGGGAGGGGAAGGCAGCAGCCAGGCACTTCCCCTGCTGCTGGATGAGATGGTCACTGAACAGCCACTCCTACAAGACAGGGGCAGAAAGCCTGGGTCACAGACTCAAGTCAGCTGTGGAGAGATGACCTGACAGATAACGGGATAAAGCAAATACAGCACACTGCACAGTGCGGTAGAAGCCCCGGGGGGAGTGGATGGATGTTCACTCTATAACACTTCCACCTGTTTGAAATTTTTAATAATAAAATATCGTGGGGTAATAGAGGCTGAGCTTGAGCCCAGTGGGAGCTGGCCAGGGGGCAACCAAAGAGGTACCAATGGATAGGGGAGGGTGGGGAGAAGACAGGACATGAGACCAGGAGAGCTAGGGATCTGGAGAAGGCTGGGGGTCTCCATCACCCACTCTGGCTCTGACATGACTCAGACACTCGTATGTTGCTGCTGTGTGCACACATGACACCACTGCCCGAAGGCCATGCAGCCTAGTGCACAAGCTGCAGCTCAGCAGAGAGCAGGGTGCTGTGTAGACGTTTCTATCTCTTCAAAAAGGAAGAGGGTGGTGTACAGAAAGAGGCCATGTGGCATGCTGAGAAGGGGACACAGGATGTCACAGGAACAGACTCGAGTAATAAAGTGAGAGGGCACAGCTTTCAGGGCGTTGGGAAGGTGAGTTTGTGGAGTGTAGACAGAAAAGATGAAAATGAACAGAGGGAAGCCCCTCACCCCACTCTTGGGCAATAATGACATCAGCTCCTTCCACTCCCAGTGCTCCTGTGAAGTCCTCAGCAACTTACCTGGGCTGCAGGGGGCTTCTTGGCAGACCCTCTGCAGATTCCCATTCCGAGCAGAGTGTCTCCAGCTGTGTCCTGGCCCTGCGATTCTAAGCAATTGACGCCCTGCTTTATGATGCCAGGGAGCACTTCCTTCTCTGGGACACTAAGATAAAAGGCAGTGGTCAGTGTGGTCCTCTGCCCACTGCCCCCTACAACCTCCCAGTCAGCTCCCGTGGTACCAAGGTCCCAATGGAAAGTGGCCTTGGGGCCAGCAGCAGACAGTGGAAGCACAGGAGGACTCAGCCTGGGTTGTCGGCGGGGCCTTCTGAGCAGCTCCCTGAGGCCAGGCCCAGGGACTCACAAGGATTCCAGAGTACAGAGCTCAAGCAGAGACATGTGTTCTTGGTCCAGAAAGAGGAAAGCCTGGGTGAGGCTGGGGCCTAAATGAGGGTGCTGTAATCCTCTCTTCTTCACTCAGGGACTATTTATTATAGTTCCCTTTTATTATAATTCCTGGAGTCTGGCAGTAAACTCTCTCCTACTGACAAAATCTGGATAGTTTGACAATTTTCTTCTTGGAAGTTGAGTGTCCTAAGAAGGGGTATCAATTATTAGTCCTTCAGGACATCATGAGGGTTAACAACAGCCCTCCTGGAGGAAATCAACTGGGCCTGTGCAGACCCAAGAGGTCCAAACAGCCTTGTCAGGAAGCTGGGCAAGGTGGTGGTGATGGTCATCCCAGCTGCTCCAGGGATGCAGGGGGGCACAGGTAGGTGACCCCACGGACACCACAGGAGTAGCATCTGGCCTTGAGGCTGCTGCCTGAGCCCATTTCCTCCATAAGCATTGGTGAGTGATCACCATATCAAATGTCTGACCAGCTTGCCCAATGCATTAAGCAACTGAAGACAGGAGAAAGAAAGGAGGATGATTTAGAACAATCTCTGAACACTTCACTGCATCCTCCCCAGAGCACGGTTCTCCGAGACGAAGCAGCAAGCAGGGCACTTATCTTTATAAATGTTAGTGGAATCTATAAAGACACCCCCTTCCCCAGCTCCGTGACAAGGCTGGGCTGAGCAGTGCTGTTTGGAGCTCGTGAGTCTATCTCTGCTTCCAGCCTGATGGGGCTTCTCCAGACAGGCCTAGCATTGGCCCTTATGATGTCTCTGCAGGACTAGGACACAGTGCCCCTTCTCAAGACACTCTACATCCAAGAAGAAAATTCACAAAATATCCTGGTTTTGTTAGCAGGAGAGGGTTTACTGCCATCTTTCAGGAGCTATAGTGCAATGTAGTGCAGAGTCCACTGTGTGATTGGCGCCCTCGCAGACATGGCATGCTTGTGCGATGCATAGCCGTACGACTGTTCCTGGCAGTTTGAACAAAAGCAATAACAGCTACTAAGGCCAGCTGCAGGACACTGCCCTTGAGAAGCAGGCCTGCAGGCCTGCGGGGATACCTGGGAACAAAAGGCCCTTCTTTAGCCTCCTCAGAGACTTGCCCTGACCACCTGCCAGCATGGGCAGCTATCAGGGTCTCCTTTTCAGAGGAAAGTTAATATCACTTGCGCCTAGACACCTCCTTTCTAACAGATAAGCTGATCCACTCCTGGCCCCTCAGCCTGAGAATCGAATGGAGGCAGCACATGATTGAGTTGGCTGAGGGTGAGCCAACTGACAGAATCCAGCTGGGAGGTTTTTATCTTATTAACAAAAAACCATTTTGTTAGCTTTCACATGGTGACAGAACAAGCAGAAGGTGACTTATGGTCTCCATTCAACATAGCTGATTTTATTCTTCTGTTTTGTGATTCATCTGTTTCTGATAATTACAAAATCCTTCCTGTTGATCCTTGCGTGATTCTATGAGGCCCTGTATATATGGGAGGCTGGGGTGTAATGAGGTAATATCCCTACAACTAGAGGCTCCCCGCTCTCCTAGTTTCTACCTTCTTGGCTAGAGTCAGGAGACGTCATCCAAATGTTATCTTCATTTTGCACTAGTGGCACAGAAAAAAAAAACTTTCTTTTAAGGGAAATGAATACTGTCCCCTTCAAACTAGATGCTTCTGGAAAATGTTCATTTATTACATTTTAAAAAATGAACGTTCCTCCCTCCACAACTATTGCCCAGGGAGGTATGGCGATCCTGACTGCTGACTTTCTTCAAGGATGTCGCCATTGCTAAAACTATTTTGGAATTCCTTAGAAATTGCTCCTGGAGTCAGTTCATTCTTATGACTTTCATGTCACAGATTATTTAGTACCCAGAATTCAATTATCTAGGTTAATCATCTAACTAATTCACTGGACTTGGCTTCAAACTAACAACCATGGCTGCTATCCAAAACTCAAGTCTGTCCTTGAAGGGCAAAATGTGCTTCCTTTGAGGATATGTGAGCTGTGGACGCAACTCTGAAAAGGAAGAATATTCCGGAAAGCCATGGCAGCATCCTGGGGGGAAAGTCAGCGGCAGTGGAAACACCTTAGGTCTCCAAGGTGACTGCTGTCCCAGGAAGAATGCTAATTTCAAAGACATTATTTAGACATTGATTATGCAATGAAGTCAGTCAATAGTGAATTGAGTGCCTAGGCTGTGGCAGGTGCAGTCTAGATGCTAGAGATAAAGCAGCAAACAAAACAGACAAAAGCCTGCACCCTCATGAAGTTTATGGTCAAGTGTGGGGAGCGGCCAGATCTCAAGTATGAGAGATGGTGGCAAACATGGCAGAGAACGATTGAGCAGGGCAGGGAGGGGAGGACGGGGGTGCTGCAGGTGTGAGAGGTCAGGGAAATTCTCCACGAGAAGTGGGCATTGGGGTTCAGAGCTGAAGGAGGTAAGGAAACGTGTTGTGTTGATATAATAGAGACACTGGAAAAAGATTTTAAAATAAGGGAGCACAAAAATAAGGTATTTATATGTAACGACAACCCAAGTGAACACATCACTTGCATTTTTCTTCCTCATTTACCAGAGCAAACATTTCCCTGTGTTTTTTCACAGACTTTGTGATTATAATATTAATGGCTTCATAACATTTGCTTACCTTGATGTATGGAGAGTAATTGAACTCAGCCCTATTATTAGACGTTTTTTTGTTTTTAATTGTGGTGGGGTTTTTTGTTCCTTTCCACCACAGCAGCACAAACGGCTGCAGTCAGTACCTACTTGGCAATAGCTTTTTGCTTTGGTTGCTTTATTTTCTGGGGATAAATTCCCAGGAGGAAGAGAACTGGGTCAAAGGGGACAGATGTTTCTGTGGCCTCGGCTATATACGCAGTCATGCTTTCTTAAGGGATCAGGTCCGATGCCACCTTTAAGATTCAGTTCTTACTAAGTCAGCTCTTACCACTACTCATTTATAACTCTTCTCAATGACCTCTCAGCTGCTGAGAGCCTTCACATGAAGGTGGACACCAGAGACCACAAAGAGCCCAACTGGGATGGGACAGTGAAGGGTAGAGGGGTTCGCCCATGCTGCTCCTCTCGGATCCCCCTTCCTCCCCCCACCAGGCTGGAGTACACAACAGAGGGAAGGCTGCACTCACGTGAGCTCCGGGTACACGTTCTCCAGGTACCAACGGAAGGACTTGCAGTTCATCTTCTTCCGCTGCTCAATCCGTGTAGCCACACTGTAGGAGAAGGCAACGAAAGATTGTCCTGGAGCACAATCTAGTTAACCATTTCTACAACGCAGATGGGCTGTGAAATCAATTTAGTGGGTCATGACCACCATTAAAGAGAGAGAAAGCCAGAGCCCTGTAGATTAGATCCGATTAGTACGGAACAGCATTCCTCCGACAAAGGAAGCAGGGAGGAAGTCCCAGAGAAGAAAGCAGAGACCTCTCATCAGGCACGTGGTAGGAAACAGCCCAGAGACTCCAGCAGGTTGGCATCCTCAACTACTTGCCTCAACAATTAAGGACCAGGATCCTGTCTCATCTGGTCTCGGCCTCTTGCCCGATGTTATTATCAGAACTGCAAGCCTACCCCAGGTCTTACGGCCACTCTTCATTCTTGTTCTCAAAGTCCTGCTCAGAGATCGGCTTTCAGGATGAGCTGAGCCCACAGGAATAGTGTTTTGCTTTTGGCTTCTGACTCTTTGGGGGTCTCAGTTGTTAGCTGTCATGAAGTTGGCTACCATTCATGGCAAGTTCATACACAACAGAACCAAACGCTGCCTGATGGTGCACCATCCCCATGATCCACTGAATGAATCACCGTGATTGAAAGGGCTTTTACTGGTTGAGTTTTGGAAGGAAGTTGCTAAGCCTTTCTTCCTAGTCTCTCTTGGTCTGAAAGTTCTACTGCAACCTCTTCCACATCACAGCAACACACAAACCTCCATGACAAGTGGAATAATGGATGCACATGAGGAACACCGGCTGGGAATCAAACCAGGGTCTCCTGTGTGGAAGGTGAGAATCCTACCATTGAGAATTGACACCTCTTAACATACCACAGATTGGTTATCTAAAAAATCTATTATTTTTTATTTAGTTGGTGTATATTTTCTTCTCCCCTCTCCCAGCTTCTTCCCCAGCCCTCCTCACAATGCATCTTTTTTCCAGACTGTTCTCATACATATAATGCACTACCTTATATTCCTTTCAGATAGTTCTTCCTCTATTTATTCTAATGCAGCGTTCATTATCTATCCACTCTTTCCCCAACCCCCCATATTTGTCCTATTTTATAACAGTGGTGTTATGTACTATATGTTCATTTGTGATTGAGATATTTCACTCAGCAGAATGTCCTCCAGGCTCTCCCATGTTGTGTAATGTTTCACAAGTTCACTGTATTTCAATGCTGCATAGTATTCCATTGTGTAAATGTACCATAGTTTTTCTATCCACTTGTTTGTTAATGGGCCATAAACTGCCTCTTAAAGAGAGAAAGCAGAATCTTAATGAACTGGAAATACTCCTTTCCTGCATTCTACTTTGTAGGATGGGTCTAACAATAAAGGGGAAGTTTTCAGAAATTTTGTAAAAAAGAAACTGATATCCTTGGGACCAGCACAGAAGCTGTCCCATTTCCTCACCTCGCTCATCTTCACCAACATGACCATTTCTTTGAGCCTCAGTTTTTCCTCCTGTAAACTGGACACATGATCACTCATCTCATAAAGTTTTTTTGTGAGACTAGCATAGGAGTTGGCACTAGTAGAGTTTTGGTAATTGTTAATTCCCACTAAAAGAAATACTCAGTAATCTTCTTATAAAAAGGGATGGACATAAATAGAGGAAGATTAATTTACAATCATTAATAATGTTTCTCAACTTTTTTTACTACAATCTTAAGTGAAAAAGAAATACATCTTCATTGTGATCTATTAAATACCACATTCATACTTAGGTACACACATATATTATTGTTAGGTGCTATTGAGTGAATACAACTCATAGCGACCCTATGAGCCCTATCCTTCACCATCCTCACATTTCTGAGAGCCCACTGCAGCAGTCACCTTGTCAATCCACCTAGTTAAGGGTCTTCCTCTCCTTCACCAACCCTCCACCCTTCCCAGCATTATGACCTTCTCCAAGGAATAGCCCCTCCTAATTTCCTGACTGCTGCCACCAAGGGTGTTGATTGCTTATCCAGGCAAAATGAAGCTGTTGACAGTTTCAATCTCCTCTTCATTCATCATGACACTGCCTATTGGTCCAGTGCTAAGAATCTTTGTTTTCCTGGTACAGAGATGCAATCCGTAGTGAAGGCTGCATTCCTTGATCTTCTGCAACAAGTGCTTCAAGCGCTCCTCACTTTCAGCGAGCAAGGTTGTGTCAACAGCATAACGCAGGTCATTGATGAGTCTCCCTCCAATCCTGATGCCACACTCCTCTTCATAGAGTTCAGTTTCTTGGATACAGATTGAATAGGCATGGAGAGAGAATACAACCCTGATGCACTCCCCTCTCAATTGTAAACCATTCAATCTTCCCTGTTTTGTTTACACAACAGCCTCCTTGTCCAGGTATAGGTTCTGCACAAACACAATTAAGTGCTCTGAGGCTCCCATTCTTTTCAATATCAGCCACAACTTGTCATGATCCACTCAGTCAAATGCCTTTGCAAAGAAAATAATGCACAAATAGACATTCTTCTGGTATTCCTTACTTTCAGCCAGGATCCATCTGACATCAGCAATGATATCCCTGGTGCCATGGCCTCTTCTAATGACCAAAAAAGAATATAAATTTCTATTCTGATCTTTTAAAATTTTTTATTTTAATTGAGATTTTAATGAAAGTTTTTAGAGAACCTGGATTTCCATTCATTCATTGTTGCACATTTTCCTCCCTCCCTACCCCATTAGTTTGCTTTTCTCTTTGAAAAAAAAAATTCTTTCATTGTTGCACAATTTCCTCCTCTCCCTCCCCAATCCACTTTGACATGCAGCTCTTATTCTGGACTGTTGTCATGCAAATAATACCTAATAATATATTCCTTTTAAACAGTTCTTTTCCTCATATGTTTCAATGCAGTACACATTATTTATCCTTTCTTTTCTTAATTTCCCCCCAACTCTCATGTCAGTTCTGTTTTATAACAGTCACATTATGCAATATTTATCCTTTTGTGACTGAGATATTTCACACAGTATAATGTCCTCTAGGGTTACCCATTTTGTATAATATTTTATTAGTTCCATGTTTTTCAGTGCTGCATAATATTCCATTGTGTGAATATACTACAGCTTCTCTATCCATTTGTCGATGGGCACATTGGTTGTTTCTTTGCTACTGTGAACAATGCAGCAATAAACATAGGTGTGCATATATCTATACTTTACTAATCTAATCTACAGTGTTCTATTTTTCTCTTTTTAGAGTGGTGGTCATGACACACTAAATTACTTTCATAATCTATAATCATTCTAGAAATGGTTAAATAGGTTGTAATCCATGAAAAGAAAACCAGCTAACAGATCACAAATTCTGATCAACAGGGGTGGAGGCAAAACCTCAAGGGTTTCCTGAAGCCAATCTCTCTCTAAAAAATCCTACAGTTATTGTGCAAATCTTTCATCAGGGAACCTCTGCCTTCATCTTCCCTCTGAGGTTATATGCCCCTCAAGGACGAGGGTCTTGTTTCTACATTATGTATCACACCAAGACCCAGAATATCTCATTATAGTGGAAATGTAGTCACAAAGAGGCTGAGAGTGATCCCCAGACAGACATCCTTCTCTGTATTTTGCTAAGGTGTTCACATGAGTGGGAGGACGCCAATAGGGGAGCAGGAGGGAGCCCACCTGCCAAATGCCTTCCCAATGGCTGAGGGCCGGGCCTCGTAATAGTATTGTTTGTATTCATCCATCCACACCTCTGCAGTGCGCTTCGTATTCCTAAAAGGAGAGGAGAGAGAAGAAAAGAAAAAATAAAGTCACCAGGTAGTCCAGGATTAAAATTAGCTCCAAGATTTGCTCTATGCTGTACAAAAGAATCTCACAAGTGTGTGCAAAACCTCTACTGGCTTGCAGTGATATAAATTAGTACAGCATCTTTGGAGGACATTGTCTAACTCACCAACTTTGTAGGTATGCATATGCTTTGCTTTCTACTTTTAGGAATCTACTCCAAGAAAATAACCACACACAAGTGCATGTAAAAGAATCTTTATCTAGCAAAACATTGGCACTACATAAATGCCCATCAGCAGGACAGTAATTAACACATAGTGGAATACTATACAGCCCTGATAAAGAATGTAATAGTTAATATGCACAGGCATGGAAGGACATATGGCATCGGATGTAAAGGAAGCATGTTCTGAAAAAAAAAACATACAGTAAAACCTCACTTATATACAAGCCTACACAAGGGGAGCTCTGGTGGCCTAGTGGCAAGGAGCTACAATTATAATCCCAGAGGCACATGGTTTGAATCCACCAGATGTTCTGCCGGGGAAGGAGGGACAATCTCCTCCTATACCAGTCAGATCTGTTTTGACGGTACACTCACACAAAAATAAAAATTTTAAAAAATAAAAAATACAATAAAATTTTAAAAAAGCCTACACAAACCTGTCATAGTCTGTGTGTCTCCTGTAAAATATATATGAAACTGAAACGACAATCTTTTCATGATTGACAGAAATCAATTTACACTAGTTACTTCTGGAGACAACCAGGATACCTAGGGAGACTCACTGCTGCGGTCAAGCCCATTCTGACTCACTGCAGCCTCCATCCGGTTTCTGAGGCTGCAAATCTCTACAGGGGGAAACTATTATCATTATCTCATGGAATGCCTGGTGAATTTGAACTACTGCCAGTGTTCTGATGGGCAGAACAACAAAGGACTCCTTATGTTGGGGATAAAGATAGATTAAAAAAAGGCATCCACATTTTTCTCTCAATAAAGCAGACGGAGTAAAAATAGAGATCCAGATGTGTGTGTGTGTGTGTGTGTGTGTGTGTGTGAGTGTGTGTGTACACATGCAAAAGAGGGAGCTCTGGTGGCAGAGTCTGTAGGGAGTTGCTATTAATTCATAGGAGGTGCCTCCTCGACCTTTGGTGGACTTTGAATCTATCAGTTACTTTGAGGGAGAAAAACGGGCAATCTCCTCTCATGCAATTTACAACCTCTTGAAAACTCCCTGAGGAGTCAACTATGATTTGGTTTCAACTCAACAGCAATGAGTGTTAGGGGTTTATTTGTGGTTTTTTGTTTTAATATACATAATACATACAGGCAAAGAGGAAGCCCCTCAATGAGATGAGCTCACACAGTGGCTGCCCAACGGGAGCCGACAAGCACAACTAGGATTGTATGGCCTGTGCACGGCTGGGCACTGTTTTGCTCTGTGGGGCTCTGAGGGGGAATCAATCTGACAGCACCTACCAACAACAAGATACACCTAACTTACATCCTTACTGAGTTAGTTTTTACAGTACGCATGTGATACTTTTATAATTATAAAACCCATAAAAATGGGCTACAAGGTGAAGCCAAACAAAACAGCCAGCCACTTAGCCGGATGCCAGGTGGCAGCTGCTCAACACAGCCCTACATTCTTCACAAAGGATGGGATGAGGCAAGTTCAAGATCATGCCCATGAGAACGGGAGGCCCACAACAACTCCTCCCACCCACCCTTTCCACGTCCAGCAGGACAATGGACCTTGGGGTGCTTTGTCAAGACCTTCCCACTTCTCTTTGAGACAGAGGGATCAATATCCCTCTGGGTAAGTGAATGCTTGGCCAAGTCAGGGCTGGGACACTAGCATCCATGACTGGTATTTAGATGGGTCTCAATGAGTGGAAGATAGTGATTAATTTAGCCAGTTTCCCAAGCCCCTCAAGCGGGACTTAGTGGCAATATTTTCATCTTCATCTTTCTACCCTAGAATTCCAGAATGTGTAGACCTGGGAAATCAAGGCCTAGAAGGAGAGTGGCTGCCCAGAGTCTCGTGGTCAGTAACTGGCAGAGCTGGGGTGGAAACGTAGGGGTCCTGGTGTCACATCCAGGGCTCTTTGAGCTGGCACCTACCTGATGTAGGTGAGGGCATTGCCCTCGGGGAAGTTGTAGGGGTGCCGCTTCCTGAAGACGTGGCCCACCCGGCTGCAGGGGACGATCTCCAAGCTCCCACCGCACATCCACACCCTGAAGGAGAGTTCTGCAGGAGATGGCAGCTGTCAGGAGGGGAAGAGGCCCCTTGGCAAGTCACACCGAGTAAAAGAAGGAAGAGGTGGGTTTCTCCTTTCTTGGGTATCTCACTGGAGACATGGTGGGATTGGAGCTCCTGAACCTGTTTACATGCGGTACACTCATCCCTTGTAGGAGTGGTTGACTGACTGCTCACCCTTGTATGTGTGCGTGACGTGTCCTTCACCCCCCAACTTCCCATATCTGAGCCCTAGGAGAGCAGTGAAAAAAGCTCCAAAAGAACCTCGGGACCTTGAGTTAAAGAAAAACTGAGCCAAACAGTGGTGTCATCCCTAGTCTCTGCCCAGAGGACTGCCAGATGGGAGCTAAGGAGGATACAGCTGCTTGTCAACCAACTCTGAGAGTCTAGCTAGGCCCTGGTTAAAAAGCCAGCCACCACTCTAGCCATAGGCTGCTCCAGCTGGCCTCTCTGCCTGGCCCCGGGCCTCTCCTCTTGGCCTACGTGGTCTCCCTTTATAGGCTACCTGCTTGTCCTCTTAAGACATGTTTCCTTTGGTGGTGGAGCTGAAAGAGCTCTGACAGACCCTGTGTCCCTTGTCGTGTCAGGAGATGCAAGAAGCGGCCATTCTGCTTCCCAGAAAGGGTCATTACAAGTTAGCCACTTGGCTCTCCATCCACCAGTCACCATTGCTGGCAAGAACACACTCTGTAACTTTAAAAGACCCCCCTTCCCCAATCTTTGCTAGTTATTGGTGTTTGTTCTTAAATTTTAAACAAAGACCATTCTCTCCTGAGTTCTGGCCTTGGTCTGTCTGTCACTGTCCCAGTTTTCTTCTAGCTTCAGGCACACATGTCCTGGCCAGGCCTTGGGGCTCTTACCTGGCAGAGCCAATCACAGCTATCCCAGCGAGAAGCAAAGGGGGATGTGAGGATGCCCACCCATGGGTGCAATGCCCTGTAAGCAAGGCAAGTGCAGGGTCCCCTGTGCTCAGTGGGGGGAATAGTTTCACATGAGTTTCACCTGGTGGCTAGTAGAAAGACTTTGACATGTGTTCTCAGTGATATGAGAGTCCTCAAAAATGTTAAGTAGTAGAGTGATGTGATCTATGTCTTAAAATGATGCTTAAAGACCAAAAAAAAAATATTCCAAAACTTAATTAAGAATTGGCAAAGAATTTGAACAGACATCTTCTTCAACGAAGATATACAGATGGCTAGCAAACACGTGAAAAGATACTTAACATGATTAGCCATTTACATCAAAGAAATGCAAATCAAAACCAAAATGAGATACCACTTCAAACTCATAAAGATGGCTACAATTTAAAAAAAATATAAGTAGAAAATGAGAATTATTGGAGAGGATGTGGGGAAAGTAGAGCCCTCATACACTGCTGGTGAGGATATAAAATAGTGTGGCCACTGGGGAAAAGTTAAAATCACCACCTGACCCAACAATTCCATTCTTAAGTATAGAAACCAAAGAATCTGAAAACAAGTACGCAAACAAACGCTTATATGTGACTATTCATGGCGGCCCTATTCACGTTAGTCAAAGGGTGGAAAGAGCTCAGCAGTCCATCAACTGACGAATGTATGAAGAGACTGTGGCGTATACATACAATGGAATTATCCAGCCATAAGAAGGACTGAGGCACTGACGTCCTACAATGTGGCTGATCCTTGAAAACATTATGCTGAGTAAAAAGAAGCCAGACACAAAAGATCACATCATGTGACTCCATTTATAGAAAAGCACCCAGAATAGGAAAATCCATGGAGACAGAAGGCAGATCGGTGGTTGTCAGGGACGGTCGGGTACAGGGAGTTTACATGAACTAGAGTTTTCTTTTGCAGGTGATGAAAATGCTTTGGAAATAGAGATGGTTGATTGCCCAACAATACGAAAGTACTAAATGCAATTGAATTGTACAATGTAAGATGATTACTGTTATGTGAATTTTACCTCAATTAAGAAAAATAATCCTTGATTATTTGATTATTGACCTAAGACTTACTGATATAAGACTAAAGTTTTCACATTTGTCACCCCTCCTAGTCAGGGTAGCTTCTGGGCTCCTGTGTTTAGATCTCTTGGGGTACACAGGAAAGTATCTTTGTGTGGGTATCTCCTTTTCTTCAACAAAGGAATAAAATGAAAGGCTCAAACCCACCAGTGGTGGGAGTCTCAAGCCTCACAACGGTCCCAGCAGCTGAGAAAGTCTGAGTGTTGCAGCTAGCCCAGAAATTCCTTTGAATTTCTTCTAAGAAACAAAACCTTTCCCAGAACTGTTCCACAGTTCACCTTTCAAGTCTCCCAACCACGAAGCTCTTGCCTCAGGCAGGGTTTGGAGTTAGCTATTTGATCATTCTGCTTCCCGTCAGGCCCAGCATCGTAGAGAAAAGGCCTCTGGAGGCAGTGAGGCAGATGCAAGTCTTTACAGGAAACTGTCTTTGTCAAAGTTCTCTTCAGGCTGAGAAGGGGACACAAAGGAGGTCACTGAGGCCCAAAGCACTTGAGGAGGGTTGGGAATGGCAGGGTCACTGCACCCCAGTTCCCAGGATTTTCACTTCCAAAAGCCTGCCTGGAAACTGCCTCCAAGAGTTAAGTTACAAAGCAGAAACTCCAGTCCTGTTTCTACCACGGGTGGCTGAGATTTAGGATCAGGACTAAGTTCTGTTCCACTGTTTATCTATTTCCTGATCACAAAACCCCACTGCTATGGGGTCAATTTCAATTCCCAGTGACCCTGTAGGACAGAGGAGAACTTCTCATAGGGTTTCCAAGGCTGGAAATATTGAAAGAAGCAGAATGTCACAGCTTTCATTCATGAAGCGGCTAGTAGGTTTGAACCACGGACCTTTGGGTTAGCAGCCAAAAACAGTTTGATCCCCAAAACCTGCTCATTAATATAAAATTTGATTCTGATAACAACTCACATACTGGAGTAGTTCTGGTAAGGAGCTCCAGACACCTGTTAAAAACATGGGTTTTCCAACTGATACTGTTTGCCCATCTGCCAAATGGGTGAGATAAGATCAGCCCTACATCCTTCACAAGTAACCTGGGCAGATTAGATAAGGAAGCTATGAGAAAAGGCTCAGTCCAATGCAGAAATGAGAAGTTGCTGTTGTTGTTATGTGCTGTTGAGTCGCCTGCGACTCATAGCGACCTGCGACTCATAGCAACCCTATGTACAACAGCCCTAAACTCCGCTCTGTCCTGTGCCAATCGCACTGTCTCTGACACTCCCATCCCAATTATCCCAGTCACTGAATCAATCCACCTCATAGAGGGCCTTCCTCTCCTGCGCTGTCCCTCCACCCTCCCAAGCATGATGTCCCTCTCCAAGGACCGGTCTTTCCTCACAACATGTCCAAAATAAGTTAGATGGAGCCTCAGAATCCTTGCCTCCAAGGAAGAGGCTTTGGTATTTTATAAGCCAGAAAAGCCCCTTCCAGGTTTCTTCTGCCTCCTCCTCTGTCAACCTGGGTGGTTGCTGAGTGCCCTGACTGGTTCGGCCAATAGGAGAGACAGCAGGAAATCACAGTAGGTAGGAGAGTAAGGGTATCTATCTACCTGGTACCCTCCCCCGGGGTGTCACGGGCTGACTGTCCTTGCTCTCTCCTGTAAGGAACCCTCTCTACACAGCTCACATTGACCTACTTGACCAGTCCCACCCACTACTCCATATGATCCCCTGTGGTTCCCTCTCCCTGCCCCTTCAGTGTGAACACAAAGTGGCCATGTTGGGGGTGCAGTTTGTCTCCTGCCGGTACCCTGGCTGACACACACACTCGATTGAACCATATCCCCACCAGCAACCCTTGGAGGCGAGTGCTTTTCACTTTCAAATGAAAATAGAGTTTTAAAAAGATTCCCAACTTACCAAAATTTTCTCCTCCCCAGATGTCCATCTGGGCGTCATATTTTCCCAAGTGGTTAAACCAGGACTTGTCGATCACGAAGATTCCTCCTGCTATGACAGGTGTCCTGGGAGCAGGAGAGGAATGAGACCATGTTTGGTTCCTTAAAAGTAGGAACCCTTTTCCACAGCCCCATGGCCCAAAGTCATTTCCCCCAGAATCCCCTGCTTGCAGAGTCTATAGGGAGGGACACCTGGTGAGCTCCCTGACCCCTGTGAACTGTCCCCGTGGCTCTGTCCCTGGAAACAGGGCTCATGGCCCAGAACAGAGTTGGCTCTTAGACCGTGTCCCTCCAGGAGCCCCCGGAACCAACCACCCAGGCCTCTGACCCAGGGAAGGAAGCCGCCGCCGCAGCCCTGACCTTATGGGCCTGGTGGGGTCAGTCCGGATTATCTTCTGCTCAAGAGGGATCTGCTCCCACTTGAAATGGAGGCTCCAGTCAAATCCTAAGGGACAGAGCAGGTTGAGAGTGGGGCACAGGGCAGATCCACAAGAGGTTGTGAACTCTGCTCACCCTACACCCCTCAGTCTCTTCTGATCAGAGCTCTGGCTCACGGAAAACCCCAGGCTCTCCACACAGTCATGCTCCTTTTCAGAATGAGACAAGAGTTTATAGTCTAAGGGGCAGAATGGAAATAAGAGAGATAAATAAAATGGATAATGTCAGCCAGAGGCTTATAAATAAAATAAAGGTATGAGGTGTCTGTGCTATTTTCGAAAGAGTAATTCCAGAGAGTCTCTCTGATAAGGTGAACTTAGAGACTTGAACAAAGGATGGATCCATGAAGACCTGGGGAATGGAAATCTAGGTCAAGAGATTATCAGGGGCAAAGGTTCTGAGGTGGTTTCCCAAAGAGGAAATGCCTGGCTCCCTTTAGATTCCCACACAAAGGATCTAATAAAGCCTGTGTCAATTCGTCAGAAATCCAGCCCCCAAGTGGGAAACCTACATTGCCCAACAGCTCTCAGCACTTTCTAAGAGAGCTCTCTGCAGTGATGTAACTGTTCTTTATCTGTGCTGTCTAATATGGTAAGCCCCCAACTTCATTTAGTAAGGTGCCCTGGTGGCTTGATGTTTATGCACTCAGCTGGGACTATAAGGTTGACTGTTTGAACCCACCGAGCAGCTCTGAGGGCCAGGGGCATTTCTACTATAAAATGTGGAGTCACTGGAGGTCAAGAAACAACAATAATTCTATCTAAGTACTGAGCATTTGAATGCAACCAGAACTCTATCAAGATAGGGCAGGATTCAGAGCTGTTGTACATAGGGTAGTTGCAGATGACTTGATGGCACATAACAACAATACTCTAATGTGTTGAGAACTCTGGTGGCCTAATGGTTAAGAAGCTGCACTGCAATCCCAAAAGCACATGGTTCGAATCCACCTGAGATTCGAATCTGTGGGAAAAGGACAGGCAATCCCCTCTCATGAAGTTTACTGCCCCTGAAAACCCACTGGAGAATCAGTTCCAGGTCAGTTCCAACTTGATGGCAAACAACAACAGTACTTTATCACATGGGGTCACTATCAGCTGAGCAACAACTTTATTTAACTATTGAGCATTTGAATGTGACTAGAATGATGTTGTGGTAAGAAGTTGTACTGTCAACTTAAGGCATGTGGTTCGAATCCATCAGATGCGCTGCAGGAGAAAGAGAGGCAACTTCCTCCCTGCAATTGACAGCCTCTGAAAACCCAGTAAATAGTCAGCTACGAGTCAGTTACGAAACAATGGCACACAGCAACAGTACGACCAAAGGATGATAATGTTAAGTGAATTTCATTTTAAAGGATTTAAATACTAAAATATTGCTATTGTTCACTTTACGGGACAGTGCAGCTCTGGTGTGTCTAGAATTGGTGGTGGTGGTGACTGCCGTCGAGTTGAGCATGACTCATAGTGACCCTCTGAACAGAAGACCTGACGCCTTTCTATAACTATCGACACATGCCTCTGGAAACTCCATGAACTCTGTCTAGAATAGAGCATTCCAAAAGTAATATGGACATGATCCACATATGTAATTTTAAATTTTCTAGTATCCACATTAAAAAAAAAGTAAAAAGCGCACATAGAAATAATTCTAATAACATATTTAAATCCAGCACATTTATCTATCATTTTAACATGTAATCAATAGAAAAACTCTTGATGAGATCTCTTACATTCTTTCACCTGAACAGCTAACTGTCATTAATAAAAGCTTCTTGTTGTTAGGAACCCAGGAGGTAGAATGAAAACTCCACCTGGTGGTTCCTGTGCATGGCATGATAGATTGCTGATTTACTACTATGGTCCACAGCGATCTTACTTACTGAATTTTGAAAGCAGATCATTGGGCTTTTCTTTCTAGTCTTAGCCTAGAAGTGCTGCTAAAACCTGTTCAGCATCATGGTAACACACAAACCTCCACTGACAGATTAGTGGTAGTAGGGCATGAAGTATATTTACTAGGAATTGAACTGAGGTTTCCTGTGTAGAAGGTGAGAATTCTACCACTAAACCATTATTGACTCTTCAAACCTGGCTAATAGCTACAGTATTAGACTGCATAGGTCTCCACCTTTCCCAGGTGTACATTCTAGGAACGAATGTCAGGAGATATAAGGCTGATGATCCCCATCTCCAATCCCTAAAGCATCTGTGACATGCTCTTCTGTGGGAATTACAGCCCTGGTTGCTGAGTCGGCAGCATATGGGAAGGATGTGTCTACGCTGGGACAAGGACCGATGGTATCGGGAACCTAGAACTGCCTGTTTTAGCTATTTGTCCCCACTAGGAAGCTCTACCAACTCTCCATTGTCTCCTTGGTAGTAAGGGGTCCATAGTGCTCTCTGGCACAGTTGGGACAAAAGAATACCAAGCCAGGGCCTTTGCCTGCCCTCACCTTTCTCTCTTCAGGTCTAGAGACCCTCCCCAGGGAGCAGGACCCACCTCCTCGAAGGTCAGCAGACGCCGCGAGGTAGGCAAAATTATCCAGACTGATGACATCAATGATGGGACTCACCACTCGGGTATGATCCTAGGAGAGGAGACAGAAGAGGGTGTGAGGCCAGGGACTTTCAGGAGAATGAAAAGGTCCAGCCACCCTCCTGAGGAAGGTCTTGTAGGCTATGCCTAGGGCAGATCCAGAACCCGGGCAGGCTCCCAGGTGCGGTCCTGCATCACCATAAACAGGCTCCCACCTGGATCCATGGGCACACGTGCTCCCCTAGCCTTATGCTTTCATATGATTGTGAGCCCTGCTGGGACGTCACCTTCTTAGGGAAGCCCTTCTTGACTGCTACAGGCCGAAGGGATTCCTCCCTCCTTTAAAAGGCTCTCACAATCGTAGTGTAGGCATGTGCTGCCTGAGATCATGTATCTGTTGCTTCTTTCAACTGTTGTTTTCTTGATGGACATTGATCTTTCTACAAACGTGGGTTATGTCTCCCCAACTGGACCACCCACCAGCAGCTTGAGGATAAGGACCTTGAGGTCCTCATATTACTCCCGCGTCATTGCTCTCATGACACACCACCTCAGAGTCACACTTGGTTTTCCCTATATAACTTCCCAGGGACACAAATGCAGCTCTGCAATATTAATGAGTGGCACAGTGGATTAAGTGCTGGATTGCTAACTAAATGGTTGGAGGTTTGAATCCCTCGGTTGCTCCAGAGCATAGAATCTGCTCCTATTAAGCTTGACAGCCTTGGCAACCTGATTGGGCACTTTTGCTCTGTTCTTTATGAGCTGAAATTCACACAACAGCCATAGGTAATGTCTATTTCACAGAGAGCTTTTTGAGCGTGTATGTTTTATATGTCATATTTTGTTTTTAGGTACAGTCAAGTTGAGTATGACTCAGTGAACCTATTAAAACCAGATCTGAACCCTGCCTGATCCTGAGCCATCTTCACAATTTCTGCCATGTCCAAGCCCATTTTTGTGCCAATTCATTTTGTTGAGGGTCTTCCTCCCTTTTGCTGACCGTCTACCTTTCCAAGCGTGATGCTTTTTTCCAAGGACTGGCCTTTCTGACAACACGCCCAAAGCATGTAAGAAAAAGTTTTACCTTCTTCACCTCTATCATAACGCAAAACTTAATCTCCTTCTCATCAGTCTTCTCTTCTCTCTCCCACAACCATGGACAATTACAGAATAGTCTCTTCTCTTTTCCTACTCTAATGGCTAAGTTTTCATGCGTAAAACTTGGAATTCAGCTCTTCCTCAGCTCATACACCCTCTCAGGCCAAGAAAAGCTCAGAGGAAAGAGGTGGCTGATGGTCAGAGACCACTTTGTAGAGAATTTTT